ATGCTCCCGATCAAATTGGGCTAGCGAGTCGGGAAAACCACCATTCACCAATGCAGTGGAAGACCTGTCGAATCAAATGATATGCGATATCACCTCCTTTAACCAGCTTCGTGACCTGGGACTCTGACCTGACCTTGATCTGAGTCAACTGAGACCTCAACCGAACAAAACGTATGCCTACCATTCGACACCTCTGAGCGAGGCGAATTAAACGATTATGCCAAAACCGCGACTCTGCGGCCATTTTTTGCGGTTATTTATCAAAAACCGATTTCTTGCCTTGGGCCATATTACCTGACCCCTGACCTGGCTAACGCGTTATAAGTTTCCTCGGCGAACACTATTGTTTATTAGGCGTCTACCAAAGATGAACTATCCAAAATTCTCACTTTATAAAATAAGGTAAAATTTCCTTTTTATTTCAATTTTGTTTTTCTTTCTGATCAATTAAAGGAAAACTAAAACAAAACATTAAAATAGCAAAAACAAAAATGCGTGTATTTTTCTTTCACAAATTTCCATGAGTGTTCTTGCAGCGATAGTATCTCGGCATCGTTAACTTCGATCCGGATATTGTTATTCAATGGTGGCCTCTGCGAACTTAGAAAAGCTGTTTATGGTTATGAAGGCCTGCATTGGCAAACTCTATTACCACGATGTGGTTAACCAGATGTTTTTCCTCAACCCTCCTTTTTGGCTCAGACACGTCGCTAAACGTGGCACCCGTAGCAAACGTGTCAAACGTGGCAAAACTTCACAGTCCCTACAAACCCTCATCAGCACTCGTTGGCTTGGTGTGTGACCCCTGCCCTTTGGCCCAGACAGCCCCCAGTCTACCGCGCGGCGCGCGGCGCACCCCTCCTTAGCGGGCGGGGGAGCGCACCACGCGCTCCCCGCCCACACCCCTCCCTCCTTCCCGAGGTCGTGTCACGAAGGTTCGGGATTACGCTACTATCAGCCACTGCGTAGCTGTCGCCCAGCGCATGGGAATACGTGGCTTGGTCCGGATTCAGCCAACTACCGGCTCGCGACAGCAGCGCCGCGTGGTGGCGAGGGGACATTCTTTTTAGACATACTATACGTACATGGGCAATGTCAATTTATTACTTGCTGACACGATCTCACATATTTACAAAATCATCACAGAAACATATTAAATCATGAATAATTGATATTCGCAACACGTTTTATTGAGTTCGATGTTCCGTAAAACTGCATGGCCAGTCGCAGATGGTAAAAATCTCCCCCCAGAGACTGCCGCCGCGCCGCCAGCACGAGATCAAGAACACCAACTCACACCAAGAACTATAAAAATACAGCTCCTAACTAGTATGCTCATCGCCGTACATTTCTACAAGCATCTTGCGATAATAAATACAGAAGCTCTCGAAATAAGTTACAATCCAATCACAAGGGAGTCATTGACGGTGCCTACAGTCGATATTGTGTTATCGAGAGGCCTGTAGTCGCCGCTGCCATCTAGTGGGAGATTTCGTAAGCTCCCAGGGAGCAGGCGCACGAGGCGGGAAGCTGGAAGGTCTCGATGGCGAAGGGGAAGTACTGGTCGCACGGGTCGTACACCAGGAACCTGTACGAAGAAAAGAAACAAAATTCGTCATCAAGTAAGCACGTATGACAAGGGAAGACCTTGGGCATATGTTAAGAAAATCTAATGAAATCGGAATGGTTAGAATTGAAGGTGTAGTTTTGTGACGTATTTTGTGAAGAGGACTAACGCTACAAGGAAGATTCGAGATGAATTTGCAATACTGACCTGTGGTAGACGGACTTCTGGAGGCAGCTGGACTCGTAGCACTGCGGCACCAGCGGACAGGCCTCTCCGGCCGACAGACACTTCTCGATGCGCGTCGTCTGGGTGAACGTCTCGTAGTCGACCTGCAGAGACATCTAGCGGTCACCTCCGGAAGTTGTGTTTTATTTGGATGACGGCAGATTAAAGTTACATCAGGCTGGGCGAAGTGGCCCAATGGATGAAAATTAGGGGAATTAGCGAGCATTTAGAGCATATAAAAATTGCATTTACTGTTGTTTTGTTAAAAAGTCCGTTTTTTTTAGTTTACCTTGATGTTGTTGACGATGACCCTCCACTTGCCGTCGGTGTTGACGGCCCTCAGCGGACGGACGTAGCCCACCTCGGACGGGCACAGGTACGTCTCCTCCTCAATCTCAGTCAGCCTGGGGATAAAACACAACATTGATGAGAAATTAGTTTATTTTAATTTGAAAAATAGGTGTATGTTGTTGCCAGGTGAACGGAAACGCCCAGGATTGGAACATTTATTGGCTTATGAAGTTATTTAGCTCTATTAGGGGCTAGGTTTGAGGGCAGTTTCATCTTCTTTTTAGAACAGCAGCTTGACACTTTTATTCTCACCTCTCGACCGAGTTTTCGGTGTTGAGGTCGGCCACGTCCGCGTACAGCTCCAGCACCTTGTGTTTGTTGTAGCTGATGGCGTGCTTGATCTCGTACCTGAAATAGAGGAACGGAAAATGGTTCCTTTTGAAATTGATTTTCAAGTTTTTTTTTTCGTACCGGGAAACAATTGCACATCAATGACGAATCTTTAAACTTTTAATTTAATTTATTCATGAACTAGCAAAACGCTGTTTATGTGCAAAAAATAATCAGAATAGTTGTTCTTGTCACTACCAGGATACTCGGAAACCTCGAGACACCAAGGGTCGGTGTTTCTGTGGGTACTTACTCGGGGTACTCGGAGTCCTCGAGACACCAGGGGTCGGTGCTGTTCTTGCTGCAGGCCGGGTCCTCAGGGTAGTGAGGACAGGCAGGGTAGGCAGGCTGGTGTCCGTAGGCAGGCTGCTGGTGGCCGTAAGCAGGCTGCTGATGCCCGTAGGCAGGCTGGGGCTGGTAGGGAGACGAGGCCGAAACAAGGGCGGCCAGAGAAGCCGCCATCTGCGGAGTAGAGGAAGGAACTATGAATATCAGCGAAGTGCTAGCTATCAGATGATTTTTTTTTTTTGTAACGGCTGAAATTTTACAGACATGAGGATCTCTTTTTATTTCAAATTTAAGGAGCTTTTTAAATTGAAATAGGCACAGAGAAAGCTAACAATTTAAATAAGCAAGCCCCTTTCACGGCCATAAGAGAAATGTTTTGGTACACCTACGATTCTTATTCGGCACAATGTGTGTGACGATTATATTTCAGCCTCGCCCTCCATCCACTAGCTATTGCCACTGATATCCTCTGAGCACTCACCACAAATGTGAACGCCATGTTGTCTCTCTGTGGTTGGAATCTGTTGTGGGACGGTCCGGCCGTGTGTGCTATCGGTCCGACCGAGTCCCCGTCTATATACCCGTGAACGGGCCGTGACCTCGACCCTGGACGGGCTCCGTGGTCGGACGGACGGGACCGTGACGGGGATCCAGTGGGGCCACCGTGGGGGCCGATGATACCGGGTGGCTACCGATACTGGTGGCTGCTTAGCGGCTACCGATACTAATGGCACCGGGTGGCTACCGATACTGGTGGCTGCTTACGATTCGTGTTTTTTGGGATACGATATACGAGAAAAGGGGCAAGGAAATAATTACAAGACAAATTTATGCTTACCTTTTGCTCGAGGTATGGTTTATGCGACGTTAAAAAATGGCATTTGCTTCGTTGATAACTGCAACTGCCAACAAACATGTGGCGTTGTGGTCATTTTTTAGCGAAAAGTGAGCGAAAAGTGAAAAGTGAAAAAGGTGGTGAATTCAGAGGTAGCCCACGCACAGACGGGGGTCCGCGCCAACTGAGAACTGACGGGGAGGGGCGGTTGACCCCCCCCCCCTCCTGAGATCTCTAGAATGAAGCAAGCTAGCGGCAAGCGGTAATCAGCATGGGATACGCACGGATAAGGTCTGCAATTTTTAGGAAGTTCATTTTCAGGTCAGGTCAAAGACGACGTCACAGGGGTCAAAAAAGTCAAAATGGTAGTGCTAGAAATGAGGAGTGTTTTTCTCGATTAACCTTCCAAGAAGCGAAGCTAGGAACAGACTAATGGCACGTTGACGTCAGATCACGTGACCTCAAGGCTTTCATGTGTATCAATAAATTCGTCTTGACGAGCTGATCACAATGAGACCATCCATTCGGCTGTATCTCGTTCCTGTAAGGAGTTATTAGCAAACGAACCTTTGGTAACCTTTGATGACGTCACATGACATTACAGTTGTTCAATAGCCAAACAGGCCTCAAGGTAGTCAAGGTTGATCTTACCTGAAGTCAATTATGGTATATTTGGCCATTTCGTCGCGTTTTAGTGGAAAAACAGGGAGTTGATTTCCCCCATTGACTTATTTATAATGGGGAGTTCAAGAAATTGATCTGACATTCGGTCGTTTATATCAAAATTCCGAGATAAATACATCGTAGCTACTGATGACCTCATTACATCCTGCGGCTTTCAAAGGCTTCTGTCATCTACTGTAGCTCTGACACGGTGACAAAGCTGCAAAACAGTGATTTGAGGTTGGGTCAGTTCGAAGTGACCTGGTGACCTGACCTTGAAAGGTAGGAGGCTCAGTCTTGCACACCATTAGCAAGATTGACGTGGGAAACTCATGCCAAATTTCGCGGTGCTATGCGTCGCGGTTTTTCCGCTATTCACGAAAAGCCCCAGAAAGGTGTTTTACCCCCCCCCCGTCGCGCGGTGCGTGGGTTAGAAATAATTTACATCCGAAGTCCAAACCTCTCTGCGTTTTGGCCCCACGTCTTGGCCGAGGTGAGCCGTGAAATTCACTCGATATAGGTGTCGCTGGAATCGCGGCGCCTCCCGTCTCGGTCAGGTAGCTACTCTAACGCGAGTGGCATGGCCGCTAATGTATCCTGGGTGTATGTATATACAGTCCACAGCAGAAGTAATGTGTGGTTTTAGTCATGGGTATGTTCTGCTTCTGAAGCTTAGGAACGGTTAGCCAGACTACAATGAAACTTTGTAGCTCCTATATGTATCGTCACCCTTGCAGCTGCAACTTTAGCTATTGACATCTTCTTTTCGATCACTCCGCATTAAACAATCGCCAGTCAAAGCCAACCGTTGAGATTGGTAAAACCCTACATTACTTTAGCGGTGGGCTGTACGTATGTACGTACCTGATGGCTCATGGCTATGGAGGTGACATTTTGTTTGCAGTGGTCTGAAGAGTCTGAATCTGGAAACATCATATGTCTAGATATTCATAAAAGAGAAAAAGGTTGACGCATTTCCGAGATGGTTTGAAATTTATCAACATGGTCATTAGATTTCAATTTATCTCGGGACCCTGACAGACGTTTCACAAGTTTTCTTCGTATCAAATGTTTGGTTGAAAAATACCTTATAAGGCATTTTTCAGCCAAGCATTTGATACGAAGATGACCTGAGGGCACAAATGTGAAATAGATATTGAAAATGTAGGCTCACCATCTTAGGGGAAGCCGGGAGAAGCCCGGGCGCGGGGGAAGCCCGGCCACCCCGTTTCCGGCTATATTAACCACAATAAAATGCTCAACTGTTTGTCCTTTCAGCGTGGCAGCTAAGGTAACTCCAGCAAAAAAGTTAAGGCTGACAAAAATTGCGTATTGTTAAAGTTATAGCGCAAAAATGATATTTTAAGGGTTTTTAGCTAAAAAGTGAGATATGTTGCACTGTTAATGTTATACCATGCAGTACTAATATTTATACGAATGTTATGTAAGGACCGTTTAAGTGTTTGTAGTGAGGGGTGACGAGGCAGGCTGGCTTAAGTATGACATTTTTTTCGAATATCGCTGTTCTAAAATAAAAATTAGCACATTGGGGTAACCCCGGGCGAGTGGCCAAGCTTACCCCCAACCGAGAGCAATGCCACTAAACCACTGTTTTCCATGAGATAATAGGTACTGAGCAGGTTTGGTTTACACCTAGATCAAAGATAAATTTCGAAAATAAACATGTTATCATAGACAAAGCCAGTCATGTCACTTAAGGTCAACTAGGGTCAAACTACGTTTTTGCAGATAACGCGACAGACAATGAAGCTAGAGCTTCAAAAATGGTGTCGTTGTGTTCTTCTTCATTAGCCGAGTCGAATGATATGCAATATGACGCATTAAGGTAAAAAGAAAACTAAATTTTAAGGAATTTTGAAATACACATTTTTTGTCAATTTTGCATCACGATTTTCATCGACCTGTACTGTATATGTAGTAGACGCTAGCTAAAATACCAGTAGTGACATAAACTCTAAGATGTCCAGAGCTAATCAGTACTTTAACCCGCGCCCGGCTGGGGGTCCTGGATTTCCACGCCCTGCTGGGGGGGGGGTGTTTGAACACCCCCCCCCCTTGTAACTCGGCTCCTGGGCCACGTAGCGATACGTGGAAGGCGGCGTTCGAAAGAGCGTAAAAAATAATGACGAAATCACTTCGGTCAATTTTTTGGTCAGGGCAAAGGTCAGGTCACCAGAGGTCATTGAAGGCAAAATTTCGCCGATTTCCAGGTCGAATGTCGAAAATTTCCAAGAAGCTAACGCATAACTCGGGAACCAATAGAGCTACAGCGCCGCGGAAAAGTGCATTCGATAGCCCTATTAACGCCCTTTCTGAGTAATTCTCTCAGATTTGACCTAACGCCAACGGTTTTGCCTGCAGGCGGCAAAAACTGCAAAAATAGCCGATTTTTTCGGAAACAGTTTTTCTGCAATAACTTTTGACCCAAGCCTTGTACGAGCTTACTTTTACCGGCATCGTGTTCCTCTCGTCAAGACGCATCGAATGAACTATAATTTGACCTTGAAAGGTCAACTTGAAAATTTGACCTCAGGTCAAGGTCATGACCTGACCGGAAAGGGTCATGTTGCATATCAGTCGATCCGTATAGTCGAGCTGAACACATATAAGGCGTTTTCATCGCTCTAGCATGCCTCTATCAAAAGTTTTTTGCGAAAAACTGTTAGATACCATTCGTGACCTAAGATGACCTCAGGGCACAAACAAGGGTCACGGACACCATTTTCATGTTCAGTGTGTCTAAACCACTTGTACTTCGGTGTTTGGGAGTGTTTATAATGTCTTTCGTCCAAAAGAGGCGCATTTCAATTTTCTCCCATTGACTTATAATGGGGAGGTCGCAAAATTGACCTGACCTTAGGTCATCGATATCAAAATTCTGAGATATACATTTTTTACATGCTATTGCTCTTAGCAATCGCTGAAAGTTTCAAAGCGATCGGTCACTCGGTGTAGCTATGACAGACATTGAAACTTTTTATGAGGTGAGGTCACTTCAAGTGACCTGGTGACCTGACCTTGAATGACCTTGGTCTGAAATTTTCACAACATGTGTAGAATTGATGTATGATAAGGTGTACCAAAAACGGCGGCGCTCCGCGCCGCCGTTTTTGAGATATTCGCGAAAAACCACAAGGGGGGGTGTTCAAACACCCCCCCCCAGCAGGGCGCGGGTTAATATTTCACTTCCCGTTAATATTTGGAAAACACATAATGGTTTCATCAACTCGTTGTAAAGCGCTGGGGAGGTGGCCGGCGTTACCCCTATGCCGTGCTTACCCCAGAAAAATCAACACTTTTTTAAAACTCGATTTTCTCAACCTTATACTTATTCCACGAAACCGAATTTTTGGGAAAACACGGCCAATGAACTTAGCTAGCTAGCAGGATATCAACATTTTGTACAGCACGTATGGTATATAATAAAAATGAAAAAGAGCATACTATGCCGGGCTTCCCCCGGCTTCCCCTATTTCTTCCAACGAGACGGTTCCCATGATATCAATGATGACCATGTTTCTATGATGTCCATATATGACCACAGGGGAAGGTCAAATATTGACCAAGTAGTTCGAATAGCAGCTGAGATGATCGACCACCCTTTATAAAACCTGTTGATGACACCTATATAGAACTTAACTGATCTTCACACAATGAAATGTTATTGGGATGAAGGGTCACGTGACCTGAAAACTGACGTAGTCTTTCGTCGACATGGAAAACTAGGATGTAGATGTAGAAATGTTAATTGGCATGAACTCATACTGTTTTGAAAGGAAAAGTAGCCCGTCCAAATACTTAAGCCTTCCGCATAGGACTGTTAAAACCTTTTTCAGTGGCTATGTCCCTTATCATGACCTGCACTGATTTGATCGGTGAATTTATTGCGTTTGTTTTTCACAGTAAGTGTAAAAATAAATAATAAACAGCTTTACCAAATACGGGGAGAGCGGGGCCAGTTGAAACACGGGGTCAGATGAAACATGCTTTATTTTCAACAGTATGCAACATATGGCGTTGCCGACACCACTGCGCATCCGCGCTCGACCACTTCCTTTGTCAACGGCGTTTGGGCGGCAAACGGACGGTAATTTTGATTTGACACTTGTCTTTGTGTTTTTGAGGGGCGTTTGGGAGAAATCGTTCTTATGAATATTTTGTGATATCTCATATACCTTTGTTTGCT